AAAGGGAGAAGTATTATTAGTCTAATTGTACTGCAGTAAGACTACATTTTTTACACACCTCTATAGTTAGAGGGCTACCTTTCGAATTAATTCACGGCTAGATTTAGACCCTACTTGTGATATTCGGGTCGAGCACGAACCCGGGCTCACGAGCCATGTCATCACTAGGCTGTGGGTGTGAAGAAGAGGGTTAGGCTGTGGCCTGTGGGTGTGAAGAAGAGGGCCAAGAGAAATATTTGGTTGGTAATAGATTTGAGAAAAGTGGAAATATTTGAGAAAGTGTGGAGAGAGACAGAAAGGAAAAATGGGTGGGACCGAATAGAGGACATTCGTATTCTGAATTATGGGGAATAATTGTACCAAAAAAAAAGAATTATGGGGAATAATAGTGAAAGAGAAAATATTAACCAAAGCCAGAGGGCATCAAAAAATCCCATCACACTCTTGAATAGCGTACAACCTTTTGTATTTGCATTTGATGTTTCTTTTTCAACCTCGTTTTGTGGCCTCATGTCTCATCCATAGACATGTCCACCGGCCGAACCGGCCTCCTAAGGGCCGGTACGTTGAACCGGACATTTAGGGTCGCGGTTCAGTCTATGTTCCATTTTTTTATTTTGGTCCCGTCGGTTCAGGCCGGGTCGTGGGTCGGACGGCGGGCCACATTGTTAATTTTTTCTCTTTTGAAGGCCGTATCGGCCTGTGAACCGCCGGGTCTGTGAAAGGCTCTTGGTTCTTAGTGGGCCGGTCGTGGGCCATGTATTGGAGGGCCCGTGACCCAACGGGCCTGGCCGAGTCTCGGCCCGTTGACTGGTCACCTCTACTCATCCACCTCATACTTAATTGTGTTTTTTTTTCCTCTTTTTTTCTTTTAGTTTCCCTCGATAGTTTACCTTATATTAATTTTTTTTGGGAAAATTAGCTTATAGCGAATTGTAAAAATATTCGTTTCGTTTCGTCCGACAAACATAAGTATTTTTAATAATATTTTTTTGTTAGGACGATGAGTAAGCAACAAGAACTATAAAATATTGATGATGAGTTACCCATACACATAGAACCATATATAGACGTTTTGGAGAAGATCTAATTAACGAAAATTTGAAATGATTCACCGCAATATCTCTTAGATTTGGAAGATCAACAATTTTAGAAAAGTCGTATTCCTGAACGATTTTGAAAACAAAATTCCGAGAATCTCCAAATCACATACATATATGGATTCTGCTTGAAGAAAACTTACTCTAAAGGAATAATGATGCTGAAGACCACGTCAGCCCAAGGTATCCAGATTTGTCTTTGGTCAATATATATTAGATTACAAAATCTAAAGAGGAGAGCTGAGTTATATATGTTGTTCTCCCCTGAGCATGCTATTGAGTTAGTAAATATATTATCTGAGAGTTTGTGAGTCTGTTGAGTATATATATTTTATAGCTTGTGAATTCAGGATTTCAGTTTTGTGTTCCAACATATCTGGAAGATTGAAACATATGACTGTTAGAGTAGTATACCCAGCGTTCCAATCGGATTGGATGTATTCTACATGTAAATACAATCTATTGGAATTATATTAAATAATAAGGCATTACTTTATTTTAAGAGTAAGCATTTATCATATATTTGCACTTAAGATAAAGTCCCTAGATCACTTATAGCTATAAGATATGGTTGCGCATAGAGATGGTGATCATGGAACATATATTGAAAGTTGTGATCTTAAATACAGTTCCAAGTTGTTGGATGTTTCGAGATGGGATATCGAATAAATCCAGAAAAGACTTGCACATAGTATGTATGCTTATTAGATAAGAATGTTGCATTCTATCAACATTAGCGTGAAGCGCAAAAACATATATATGGGTGCTTGTTAGAGAACAAGTTCACTGAACATGACCGTATGAAAATTCTTAATGAAAGTTTATCATGTCGAATAAGAATTTTCATGTTACAATAGTACATGATTAATCCTTAGACTTGAGGCACGATGGTAACTTTGTGCATATTATATTTTACTTTGATTTATCCTTTTGATTGCTAGCACAATCGTATAAAGGAATATTTTGGGTATTATATTAATATGTATGGAAGTTTGTCAGTGGCCAACAAAGGATTCACTTATGAAGATAAGTGAATTTCCTATGTGTTTCATAGTTAGTAATTCAAAGTCCTTGGCCAAGGCGGGATGAATAGAGATCCATAAACGAATGACTAAAACTTGAAATGGAATCATAATTATTAAATCAATTTGGATTTCGACAAAATCATACCCAAAGATTTAATCGGGAAATTGGATGTCGAAAGGATTTTACATGTATGGACTTGTAATCGAAATAGGTTTACTCGCTATTCACTTAATACTAGATTCATGCTACTTGCTAAATGTTCCCATGATATGTGGGTTCTTGAATAAGGAGTTAATTCATGAATAAGAGTTAATAAGATTAACTCAAATTACAAATAGTTGTAAACCCACTACTAGTATTAATTGTGAACCTAAAAGGTCACACCAATTTTTGAATGAAGGTAAAATTCAAATAGTATTTCTAAAGAGTTAGAATTAATTGACAAATCTAATTTGATTAGATATCAATTAAAGGAATATATTAAATTAATTAATTAGATTGATTAATTGAATTTTGGATATTAATTTAGTAATTAATGGAATTACTAATTAATAGTTGGAATTTAAAATTGGATTTTAAATTTCAAATCCAAATAATAATAAGATTATTAAATAAGGAAATGGAAGAATAGATTAAAATAATAAAGTCTTGAAAAAATATTTTCAAGAATTATTATTTTATAATTTATTTTTAATATGATTGAAGATTAATTATTAATAAGAATAAATTAATTATGGTGGTTTGGAGTTGTTAACCAATCCACATAATTAATCTTATTTTTATTAATACAATATTGGGTAGGAATAGTCTTCTTCAAATTAATAATTTATGAAAATATTTTTGAAGACTTTTTATATTTTATGAAAATATTATACCTAATATTATTATTTTATACTAAAATATTTAGTATAAATATGGACATATTTGATGTTCAATTTTGCGAAGTTTTTGTTAATTTCTTCCAAAGAAAAAAAAACATTCAAAGAGTTGAGTGATAAAACAAGAAAGAGTTCTTGTAAAATTTCCTTATAAATATACATTCTATACTTCTTGAAAAACCGAGTAGTTTCTACTAGCAAAGAAACTATAGTCGGAACCAAAGATCAAAAAGGTGGATATGATTAGAGGGAAGACATTTGGATTCCTAAAGTGGGTAACCACAAGAAGTGATCGTTACCAAACCGGGAATCGATTTCCTCATACATCTTCATTTT